CACTGTCACGTATGTATTGTATTTTTGCAATGTCTACCAATAGCAATTTACCCTATTGTTTGAGTCATGGATAGGTAACCCTTCACATTGCTTTTGGTTAGTCGGGTAAAAATACAATGCTCACGTGACGGTAAAAGACCAGATCTATGAATGTTATTGTTCACTAACATAGGTAATGAGTTATATTGTTATTCTAATGAGTTTCCAAACCATCTATTCTATTAACTATGGTGGGACTGAACACTCCAGGTCCCTGCTGTACCAAACTGACTTTGAAAAGTTTAGAGCCCCCCTTCAGAATATCGAGAACTTTCAGAGCCCCCTTTAATGCCAGAAAATATTTCGGTGCCCCCACTTAACATCTTCATCCGGGAAACGACAAAACGCGGACCCCAGGTCCGCAGACTAACTTCGTGGACCTGGTCCGTGGACCACTCTCGTGGACCACTTGCGAAACACCAGATTTTTGGGGTTTGAATTCTTGACTGTGCATGGAAAAATGTGCTTGAGTCGAGTTCAGTCATTATTACCATTGTGGAAACTCTGCACAAAATGTGAAGTTCTAAATCCATTCACTATATGACCGTTCTAAAATATAAGTGTACAATTACGACTTTAATGCAAAGTTTCCGAATACATGCCCTTAAAATTAGTAGTTTTTTCCGATCGCTACAGAAAATGCAAGAAAAGCAGTAATCGAGCTTCAAAAACAAATATGTTTGGGAGAGGACCTCCAGACATTGAAATGTCATTGCAATTGACGACTTCTACAGTTAAGTGATTTTTTAACATTAAAATTCGAATAATTCGGTAAAATCCTTCGACCCCCCCCCCCCTCCAGATTCTCCACGATATTCCTATATTTTTTAATGAACCCTGACTACATTTTTTAGCATTTTTACTTAGCATTCACTGTACATCAACAAAAACTGAATTGACTGTGAAATAAATAACGGAAATGAATAATGAAATGTCTTGCACCTTGAATGATTGTGGTTCCCGCGAATCTCGGCTTCCTATGATATTAGGTCGGCCGATGTTCTTGCAACTTTGGGGTGGCAAACTCTCGACAATAGGCGAAAATACTTGAAATCCATTTTTATTTACAAAATCTTAAATAATGAAACTGCTCCAAACCTGAAAGAAAATTTTTTGAAAATAAGTGATTGTCCAATTACACACCAATTAAGAAATTCTCAAACAGATCTGGTACTTCCATTCCCAAAATCACAATTTAAGAAAAAGACCTTCAGTTATAGTGGAGCAACTCTTTGGAATAACTTATCAATTACTGCTAAACAATCCAATTCTTTCAGTTGTTTCAAAAGACTAATGAAACTACATTTTCGAAAACCATAAGTATGTAAATAGTTTTGTATGTTTGTTATTTATTTATGTTTGTTAATTGTCAAACTAATAATCATGTAAATAGTTTGTATTATGTATATCTATTAGTCTTATTCTTACACGTCCCCTATGGAAACCATCAAAAGATGTTAGGGCTAACGTGTTTAAATAAATTTTTATGTATGTATGTATGTCCTAAACTTGGGTTAATAGTGCTCGGTCCATTGTTCGGTGGTGGTCCACATTTCGCGAGTGGTCCACATTTCGCGAGTGGTCCACGAGAGTGGTCCGTGGTCCACGAGTGTAGTCCATGGACCAGGTCCACGAAAGTAGTCCGCGGACCTGGGGTCCGCGTTTTGTCGTTTCCCTCTTCATCCCCTCCTCGGCGTATAAATGTACTTTCCCTAAGCGAACAAGATTGAAAATGTTAAAGAAATGAAGACATTTATAAAGAATAAGAGACAACGTAAGTAAGTTTAAACATATTGTAGGTTTTACGAGTGATTTGAAAGTTTGGTGCAATTTTGTGCGTTTAAAATTTGCAAATACGATAGGCGAATTTACCTTCTTTGTTTTCCCTGAGTCTGACTAGACTTTCCAAAGTCCGCGGTTCGTGGTTCCTGGAAGCTACGGACTTTTGTCACCCGCAAGCGCGCCAAATTCACCGGTGCATTTTTGCTCCGGTGACGTCAGTGAATGCTCATTATTATTCTGTACTAACGACGCCATTTTGTAAAATTTATATTTAATACAAACAGACGCGAATCGTCGAAAATCACTGTAAAAATCTCTAGCTAAAAAACAAAATGGATATAAATTCAAAAGTAAAAGAAGCTATAATTTATGGTAGTAAAAAACTGGGTTATCAATCGTTAAGAGAAGTTCAACAGAAAGTTGTAGAAGCCTATCTTATTGGAAAAGATGTGTTTGTTTGCCTCCCTACGGGTTCTGGGAAGAGTTTGTGCTTTGAGATAGCACCCTATGCACTTGAGTGCATGCAATATGGTTTAACTGCTGTTGAGGAACAGACTGCACCGAAAACGGTTTGCATAGTTGTTGCGCCGTTAGTCTCTCTGATGAAAGACCAAATATCTTCGTTGAGAAGTAAAGGCGTATCTGCTATTTGTATTGGACCAGAAAGCACTTCATCTGATATTGAAGACATAAAATCTGGAAAGTATAACTTAATATTTGGTAGTCCAGAAGCTCTACTGAACAGAGGATATTTTCAGAGGATATTTAAGGAACGTTTTGGGTGCTGTATTTATTGACGAAAGTCATTGCATTGAAAAATGGTAAGAAACACTTCAATTTGAGACTAGAGAGATTGAAAAGTATATATACATAGAACATATAATGTCTCTTGTACTGGAAATGTGCCGTATTTAGTATTTTTAATAATCTGCCTACAAATGCCAGACAATTTGACTTGATGATTTTTACTCTTCATGATCAGTGCAATAGCACTCAGTCTGACAATTAATATTTGTAATGTAATTTGTTTATCATTTTTAGGGGAACATGTCAAGGTAAGGATGAACCTTTTAGGACAGACTATGGCCGACTTGGTGAATTGAGATCCCTTATCAGGAAGGAAGTACCCTTTGTGACCTTGACTGCGACTGCAACAACTATTGTTAAGGAACAAATCATTCAAAATTTGTGCATGCAAGGATGTATTCAAGTTTTGGCTAACCCCAACAGAGACAATATTCGGTATGCTGTGGTAACAGTTGATATAGATAATTTGTACACATAATTTTCTTGGTTAATTGACGAGCTTTTAAACAAGAGTGTCAACACTCCAAAAGTTATTGTATTCTGTCGCAGAAAGCAACATATGAAAGATCTATACGAATTATTTAGTCATCATTTGGGCAAGAAAGCCTATTATATGCCTAATGGAAATGAACCTATGGATGACCGAAGTCGTTTGTTTGCGATGTATCATAAGAAAACCCACAAAATTGTAAAGGAAACCGTGGAAAAAGAGTTCTGCAAATCTAATGGGACGATTCGAGTTCTATTCTGTTCCATTGCATTTGGGATGGGTGTAAACATAAAAGATGCATTTTTGGATTTGCATCTTGGACCTGCGGCAGATTTGGATGACTTCCTGCAAGAAACAGGACGGATTGGAAGGGGGTCAACACAATTAAGTCATGCGGTTCTGTTAAAGTACAAACGATGCACTTCAAGTAAAAATATTACACTTGCTATGAGAAACTATGTTAATAATGATACCAATTGCAGAAGAGATATGCTTTTAAATCATTTTGATGTAGTTGTTCCTGAGAAATCTATTCTTCATGAATGTTGTGACATATGCGCCCGTGCATGCAAATGTTTGTGTAAATGCCCTTGTGACTGTTCATGTTCTAAGAAATGTGCACAAGATGGTTGTCTTTCATCTGTTGAAAAACATCTTGCGGAATTGGAATGTGATCAAAGAAAAGATAAACACCCAGTTCACAACTTATCACAAACTAGCATATTTAAGATGAAAGTAATCTTTTACAGTATAGGTTACACTTACAAAACAATCTTTCTGGACAACATAACTTGAATATGCTAACTGGATTTGATGCAGCTACTGGTTATAGCAAAAGTCTTATTGATGCCATTATAAAGAATGCCAGATACATCAAAGACAAGGAGTACCTAAATGCAAATTTTGCATTTTTTTGTGATGAGCATATGGAAAAGACATGGGAAATAATTAACTCTTTTCTATGTGATACTGACTCCAACAATGTTTGTACAAATGTACTTGTAGATAAATGTATTGCAAACCCTATCAATGATTCTGGAAGTAGCGACTCATATAATACAACCGAGTCATCTTCATCTGAGGATAATTGGCAAAATCCGAAAAAGATGGTATGGCTTCATACTGGATATTCAAGTTCTGAAGACGAAATTTCCATCAGCTCGAATTGTTCATCATAAAAGCATTAAGTTATAGTAAGTTTTTTAAGTATACTATACATAATGATAAACTGAACATTTTTCAGTAAAACTGCCTGAAATATAAGTAGGGGGTTTATACCATTTCTACCCTGTAATGTCATTAGCCTAATGCCATAGCAGCTGCCACCTGCTAATGCCAAAGTCGAGTAAAGGCCTATGTCTAGGCTGAGGCTGCCTTTCATGTCCATTGGACAGACAGATTGGGAGAATTGTTCCGTTGGATGAACATTTTGAAGCATTTAGGCTTATATCACATCCTACCAATACCCATTCCACGATAAATAAATCGTAGTGATAGCTGGAGTAGTTCCAACAGCATTTAAGACAACTCTCATTTATATGGTGGCTGATGTGGGTGTGTGTAGAAATAATTTTAATCTTTGTCATATGTAGCTTAGAGTCTTTATGAGGAGCAACTTATACTAGTGATCAGGATTCTGCCATTATTTTTAGATATTGCCAATCATAACCAAATGAGAAATTGTTTCCAGTAATTACTGCATGATCTTAGTAATCAAATGAAAAGTGTTGCTACAGCTGTACATCTTACTCTAATGATTAAGATGTACAGATGTAGCAACACTTTTCATCTGATTACTAAGTGGAAAGAATTTCTCATTTGGTTATGATGGGCAATATCTAAAAGTAATGGCAAAATCCTGATCACTAGTATAAGTTGCTCCTCATAAAGACTACATATGACAAAGATTAAAATTATTTCTAATTATATACTTGCATTATTCTTCTGCTGAAGTTAATTTGTCTGGTAATAGACAAAGCAAAGGTGCTAAATGTGAACATTTGGGCTCATTTAAAGATAATGGTTTAACAAGAGGCACTGTTAACACTCTTCAACAAGTGGGTAACATTGTCTGGTGTTAGACAGAGTAATTGAATGCTAAAATATGGGTGTTTGGGCTATTGCGAGCTAATGGTTAATATTTATACTGTACCTTTAACCATTCGCATTGAGTGTGGAAATCTTCAAACTTGCTTACTAGACCAAGTAGTTTTGCAGATGGTGTTCTTCCATCTTGCATTGCTGATTGTGCTGATTTGTTCCGCTCATGAGTAAGGTAATCACCGCCATTTAATACTTTTACTAAAGTACCAGGTTGATCATCCTTATCTGAATGGCCTGGAACATATTTGTGAATCCACTCCAATATGTCTATCATATCTTCCTCGTATTGCTCGTTTTCCCGAAGAACACCTAAATGTACCTGTTGCAAACAATTGTATTAAAATAGTTGTATATACCCCAGGAAGGCATATTTTAACATATATACTGGGGGGGGGGGCAATTTGGCCGGGCCACTCACACAAAATTGCCCCCACTCCCTGGGCCCTTTTAACATATTATTGCATTTAAACTGTTACCTCAGACAATAATACATTGGATCGTTACAGTGTGAATGGTATGACTTTGTATGTATTTGATGAAATATTAATGCTTTTATGACTTTTATGGTTTGAAATTAAGTTTTAATTAAAAACACAAAATGACTATATTTTAATATATACAAGAAGTAATGCAAATTATTATTTTAATTTTTGGCCTCTGTCTCTGATTGTAATGTCCACAAAATGGAATTGACTCAGATGCTATATCATATGTATAAGTTAATAAAAAATTTTATTGAAATAAAACATTCACTTTTTTAGTATTCAGAATTATTTAAAATCGCCTCCCAAAAATGCATGAAATGGCAATTTCAGAGACTCCAGATTTCAAAATTTCGCGGGAAGGACCCCCCCCCCCGGACCCCCATGGAAGGCTTGTGCTTTCGGTGCTTGGCTTCAGTTATGGCCCCCCACTGCTAAATCATTAAAATATGCCTTGTACCCCAGTGCTGTTGTAAGCAATTTCTTATTTGGGTTGGAGGGGTATATATATGGCCTGCATTTTTGCATTCCTGGGACAAGTCTCAAAATCCAGGGCAATTTTTTTAAAGGTGACCTACAGTCCAATCTGCGCATGTGCACAAAGGAGCCCACTTTTTATGATACAAACAGTTTAACTATGTTTTGGGTTCTTCAAAGCCTGATTGTTGTTTCTTGATCATTTATTATACTCTAGAAGCTTGAAAATATAAATAGTTGTCGAATAAAGCTCAATATTTTGGACGCAAAAATGTAAACAAAGGCTTTGTTTACATACGGACTGTAGATCACCTTTAAAGAATATAAATAATGTAACCATTATTTATATTCTCAGCAATGCGTTAATCAGAAATGCGTATGAATTACTATCATTTACCTTGTTTGTCTTCTTCTTAACATCTTCCATGTGCTTGTGAGGAATGTGTGTAGGAACATAATCATTGAACCAACTCAAAGCAGGAATGTACTTCGCCCATAGTTGACATACCATAACAGTGATTTCTTCAGCTAAACTTGTTTGTTCCATTGCACTTGGAAGAAAGGTTAACCATGATATTTTGCCTACGTCGACAATGGGCTGATCATCGCTTAGATTGTTAGGTGAAATCCTGTTTTCGTATGCAACGTTCTGAAACATATGGAAGTCTTTGTTCTGTTTAGATTTCATCATTTGTCTGGGCTTTATAATAAAGTCCGCATTATCGCCTGCGAATGAGTACGACGGATGCATACTCTCTCGGTGTTTTTGAAGCTTATTGGCTTCCGAAATAATCTCTTCTTCAGCATTCGGATCCAGCTCACTCAACTTTGACAAAATTTCCCTTTCTTTTTTCACATCTTTCTCTACCTGTTCTTTCCATGTCAATAATTTGATGTCAAAATCTTTGGCAAAAGTTTCGAACATTTTGTTAGTTGACTTGTACCCCATACACGCGTATAATCGAGCCAATCTTTGGAAACCGATTTTCTTCAGCCCGTTCTTCTTAAGAATTACGCTCTTTATTCTTCTGGTAGCACACATTCCTTCGCTAAAAATGGAGATCAGTTGAGAAGCAGCGTCACACATAGGTGGTATGAGGTTATCGTCCTTTTTGTTTACATTTTTTGCCTGGGAAGGGTTCTGGGCAGAAGCTTCAATAAAGCGCATGAACATCGGCGCTCTTTCTTTCAATTCTTTATGAATATTCTCCCAAGAAAATTTAACGAAATCTTCTTTGGACGTTTTGCGCAGAATTGATGGGTTGGAAGTGGCACATAAATTTGTTATTTCGTTATTAACACGACGAGCGGCTATAGCCATTACTTCGTCCGCAATATCATCAACAGAAAAAACAGCAGAGGCAATTGATTTATGATTTCCTAATGCCAACTGTCTCGCTAACCGAAGATATTTTTCTGGAAGAACAACCCTCTTTTCTTGGCTATTTGGGTAACTAATTATGACCTATAAAGCGAAGGGAAAAACAGTTGCAGTTTATAGTCAAATCAGTCCGCCCAAAAATTATATAAAATATAAACAAAGCGCCAGCAAAACATTTCTTAATACACACTCCGATTGTTATTAATATTGTGTTAAATCTTTATAGAGAATATCAATTGATAATATAGCAACAATTTGTACTATTTACAACATGAGCGGCCGTGTTGTATATCCGAATATCCGATACAACAGGGACGCGAATGTTGTAAATGACTTAAAAAACGACTCATCTTATGAGTTCATTGGCGAAGTAATTTTAAAAATAAACGTTGTCTAAGCCGAGAAAATCAAAGTTAAAGTTTATGTAAATCAACATGAATCTGTATCACATATACGCTTATGATTTTTCTTTGTGTTTTCTTCATGAATTATTAATGAGTTTTTTAATGTACATTTACATTGTAACTTTCTTAATTGTTGTTTATCCTAAATTGTAATTAGAACAATGGACGGTTATGTTGTCTTTATAAATTACTCATCAGGCATGCCTTTAATACTACTAAATGTTAATACAACATGTCAAAATCGTGTGAAAACAGTTGACTTTATGTTGTCGATAATTCGGATACCGATAAACTTTGCAACTTACCGTGACGGACGATATTTCAGAATTGACTTGAATGCTTTCTGTTTGAGTTTCTTGGTTTTTGCTGTCTGTAACAGGTTCCGTTGTCGAAAAAACAACACGCCTTTTAACTGGCTTGTTTCCTAGGTTTACACTGGGAGAGTCTTGTTGTTTATCGTTACTGCTTTGCCTTTTGGTTACCAATTTCCCTTTCTTTTCAATCAAAGTTGACTCAACAGTGTGAAAAAGATCACGAGCCAGGTCAAGCTTATGTAGCAATTTGGTATTCTTATCCACACAGTTACGGCATATAATATAAGACAAACAATTCTCCGTATCAAATTCTCTTTCAACAATTCTTTCCAAGCTTTCGCAAGCTACTGTTTTTATTGACTGGTTAAAGAGTTTCCCGCGTTTATTAGAGTCCGTTATTTCTTCCCCGCACTGAATGCAAATTTTCCCCTTGGAATTTGGTGAAATATCCACTCTCGCAAAATTTTTTGTGGGTGTTGTGCACTCGCCATTCATTGTGAATATATGGAAGTCGCGTCAACAAAATAATAATGAACTAGTGAAATCGACATGGTGAACGCCCACTATGTCATAATTGGTTTTCGCGCCAAATTTTTCCAGTAAGATTCAAAATCAGGCAAGTGACACAAGTCGCTCGCTTCCGTGTTTCTCAAGCGCTCCCTTCTTGCTACGCGCAGTCCCTAGCGAGCGACTTGGGCAAGTCTAGGTCAAACGTGAGATATGACAAAATGTTGGAAAAAACTTATTTTTGCACATTGCAGCAAATAGTGCTATTCGGTCAAACGCAACCTGCTGAGCACAACGCGCTGAGTTTCAGCTCGATTGGTTCAATAGTTCGAGAGATATGACAAAATGTTGGAAAAAACTTATTTTTGCACATTGCAGCAAATAGTGCTATTCGGTCAAACGAAAACTGCTGAGGACAACGCGCTGAGTTTCAGCTCGATTGGTTCAATAGTTCGTGAGATATGACAAAATGTTGGAAAAAACTTATTTTTGCACATTGCAGCAAATAGTGCTATTCGGTCAAACGCAAACTGCTGAGGACAACGCGCTGGGTTTCAGCTCGATTGGTTCAATAGTTCGTGAGATATGACAAAATGTTGGAAAAAACTTATTTTTGCACATTGCAGCAAATAGCGCTATTCGGTCAAACGCAACCTGCTGAGCACAACGCGCTGAGTTTCAACTCGATTGGTTCAATAGTTCGTGAGATATGACAAAATGTTGGAAAAAACTTATTTTTGCACATTGCAGCAAATAGTGTTATTCGGTCAAACGCAACCTGCTGAGCACAACGCGCTGAGTTTCAGCTCGATTGGTTCAATAGTTCGTGAGATATGACAAAATGTTGGAAAAAACTTATTTTTGCACATTGCAGCAAATAGCGCTATTCGGTCAAACGCTACCTGCTGAGCACAACGCGCTGAGTTTCAACTCGATTGGTTCAATAGTTCGTGAGATATGACAAAATGTTGGAAAAAATTATTTTTGCACATTGCAGCAAATAGTGCTATTCGGTCAAACGCAACCTGCTGAGCACAACCCGCTGAGTTTTAACTCGATTGGTTCAATAGTTCGTGAGATATGACAAAATGTTGGAAAAAACTTATTTTTGCACATTGCAGGAAGTAGTGCTATTCGGTCAAACGCAACCGGCTGAGCACAACGCGCTGAGTTTCAGCTCGATGGCTTCAATAGTTCGTGAGATATGACAAAATGTTGGAAAAAACTTATTTTTGCACATTGCAGCAAATAGTGCTATTCGGTCAAACGCAAACTGCTGAGGACAACGCGCTGGGTTTCAGCTCGATTGGTTCAATAGTTCGTGAGATATGACATAAAAATGTTGGAAAAAACTTATTTTTGCACATTGCAGCAAATAGCGCTATTCGGTCAAACGCAACCTGCAGAGCACAACGCGCTGAGTTTCAGCTCGATTGGTTCAATAGTTCGTGAGATATGACAAAATGTTGGAAAAAATTATTTTTGCACATTGCAGCAAATAGTGCTATTCGGTCAAACGCAACCTGCTGAGCACAACCCGCTGAGTTTTAACTCGATTGGTTCAATAGTTCGTGAGATATGACAAAATGTTGGAAAAAACTTATTTTTACATTGCAGCAAATAGTGTTATTCGCTCAAACGCAACCTGCTGAGCACAACGCGCTGAGTCTCAGCTCGATTGGTTCAATAGTTCGTGAGATATGACAAAATGTTGGAAAAAACTTATTTTTGCACATTGCAGCAAATAGCGCTATTCGGTCAAACGCAACCTGCTGAGCACAACGCGCTGAAGTTCAACTCGATTGGTTCAATAGTTCGTGAGATGTGACAAAATGTTGGAAAAACTTATTTTTGCACATTGCAGCAAATAGTGCGATTCGGTCAAACGCAACCTGCTGAGCACAACGCGCTGAGTTTCAGCTCGATTGGTTCAATAGTTCGTGAGATATGACAAAATGTTGGAAAACTTATTTTTGCACATTGCAGCAAATAGTGCTATTCGGTCAAACGCAACCTGCTGAGCACAACGCGCTGAGTTTCAGCTCGATCGGTTCAATAGTTCGTGAGATATGACAAAATGTTGGAAAAAACTTATTTTTGCACATTGCAGCAAATAGTGCTATTCGGTCAAACGCAACCTGCTGAGCACAACGCGCTGAGTTTCAGCTCGATTGGTTCATTAGTTCGTGAGATATGACAAAATGTTGGAAAAAACTTATTTTTGCACATTGCAGCAAATAGTGCTATTCGGTGAAACGCAACCTGCAGAGTACAACGCGTTGAGTTTCAGCTCGATTGGTACAATAGTTCGTGAGATATGACAAAATGTTGGAAAAAACTTATTTTTGCACATTGCAGCAAATAGTGCTATTCGGTCAAACGCAACCTGTTGAGCACAACGCGCTGAGATTCAGCTCGATTGGTCCAATAGTTCGTGAGATATGACAAAATGTTGGAAAAAACTTATTTTTGCACATTGCAGCAAATAGTGCTATTCGGTCAAACGCAACCTGTTGAGCACAACGCGGTGAGTTTCAGCTCGATTGGTTCAATAGTTCGTGAGATATGACAAAATGTTGGAAAAAACTTATTTTTGCACATTGCAGCAAATAGTGCTATTCGGTCAAACGTAACCTGTTGAGCACAACGCGCTGAGTTTCAGCTCGATTGGTTCAATAGTTCGTGAGATATGACAAAATGTTGGAAAAAACTTATTTTTGCACATTGCAGCAAATAGTGCTATTCGGTCAAACGCAACCTGTTGAGCACAACGCGCTGAGTTTCAGCTCGATTGGTTCAATAGTTCGTGAGATATGACAAAATGTTGGAAAAAACTTATTTTTGCACATTGCTGCAAATAGTGCTATTCGGTCAGACGCAACCTGCTGAGTACAACGCGCTGAGTTTCAGCTCGATTGGTTCAATAGTTCGTGAGATATGACAAAATGTTGAAAAACTTATTTTTGCACATTGCAGCAAATAGTGCTATTCGGTCAAACTCAACCTGCTGAGCACAACGCGCTGTGTTTCAGCTCGAGTGGTACAATAGTTCGTGAGATATGACAAAATGTTGGAAAAAACTTATTTTTGCACATTGCAGCAAATAGTGCTATTCGGTCAAACGCAACCTGCTGAGCACAACGCGGTGAGTTTCAGCTCGATTGGTTCAATATTTCGTGAGATATGACAAAATGTTGGAAAAAACTTATTTTGCACATTGCAGCAAATAGTGCTATTCGGTCAAACGCAACCTGCTGAGAACAACGCGCTGAGTTTCAGCTCGATTGGTTCAATAGTTCGTGAGATATGACAAAATGTTGGAAAAACTTATTTTTGCACATTGCAGCAAATAGCGCCATTCGGTCAAACGCAACCTGCTGAGCACAACGCGTGAGTTTCAGCTCGATTGGTTCAATAGTTCGTGAGATATGACAAAATGTTGGAAAAAACTTATTTTTGTACATTGCTGCAAATAGTGCTATTCGGTCAAACGCAACCCGCTGAGCACAACGCGCTGAGTTTCAGCTCGATTGGTTCAATAGTTCGTGAGATATGACAAAATGTTAGAAAAACCTTATTTTTGCACATTGCAGCAAATAGTGCTATTCGGTCAAACGCAACCTGCTGAGCACAACGCGCTGAGTTTCAGCTCGATTGGTTCAATAGTCTGTGAGATATGACAAAATGTTGGAAAAAACTTATTTTTGCACATTGCAGCAAATAGTGCTATTCGGTCAAACGCAACCTGCTGAGCACAACGCGCTGAGTGTCAGCTCGATTGGTTCAATAGTTCGTGAGATATGACAAAATGTTGGAAAAAACATATTTTTGCACATTGCAGCAAATAGTGCTATTTGGTCAAACGCAACCTGTAGAGCACAACGCGCTGAGTTTCAGCTCGATTGGTTCAATAGTTCGTGAGATATGACAAAATGTTGGAAAAAACTTATTTTTGCACATTGCAGCAAATAGCGCTATTCGGTCAAACGCAACCTGCTGAGCACAACGCGCTGAAGTTCAACTAGGCCGTATTCTGTGGCACGATATCGTTCAGTTCCGTTGCCCGGGTTCGGGCACTACTTTGAAACAAGATAAATAATTAGGATAAATTATACAAAGTTCAAATCCGCTTGTTTGCACTTCCCAAAACCTGCAGTTTTCGAGTATTTCTTCTTCGAAAATTGAAGAAATCGACATCTTTCGCAATCGATCTCCGCCATTTTTGTTCAGGATACTTGGTGTAATAAACACTCTAAATGCCGATTTTCGCGGGCTCATGCTCATTCTTACATGAAGTTTCCAGCTTAGCATTTGTAAACATGGCGTCTTCTCATTCATGTTTTATTCATTTTGATGGGAAAAAAGGCCCACTTACAAGTTTTAGTGTGGTTTCGTATCAAAAATGTTTAGATTGTCGTAGAATTTGGCTAACGCTAGACGGGGAAGAACGCAATGTTGCTCAAAGAAGTTTGCGGTTTGTTAGCGACAGCATGGAAGCAGCACGGTCGAAAATATCGATGCAAATTTCTCTTTATATCATCGAAGTTGTTACTCGGCATTCACAAATAGCAGTATGATCAACCGAGCTCAAGAGCGTTGTCAGAATATGGACAAAGAAGGTGTACCTTCATCCTCTGGTCTCCATGTTATTGATGAAGAAACGGAATCAGATGAATACGATTGCGGGCCTATGCGGCAGCTAAATCATGGAATCCCCACTTGTTGCCATGCGTTTAGCGTTTGTATAATTTGCTAATCAGAAAAGTCGTATTTCACTGAATCGGTAATTTTATTGTTTTATCTTTTTTACAATTGTTATTTTTCTAATATGTGTTTATAATTTTATATTGATTGCATTGCCTTTAGCCGCTCCCGTTATAACGGTTGTGTGATTTATATGCATGGGTGTTTTATTGTTTAGAAGTCGAAAAAGCTGGACAAAATGGTATCTGTGAAAACAGTACATGGTGGTAAACTGAAAGAAGCTGCAACAAAGAAAGTTGATGAAAGTATTTTGATTGAAATTGGCATTGAAAGCATCCACATACAGTATACAAGTGCAAGACTGAAAGAAATGTATACAGACAATTAATACAATTGGCCTAACATTGAGAAACAACTTGCAAAGGCTGTTGCAAAACATTGTACATCTGCTTGGTACAAGAACTGGCCACAACATGCATCAGGCTGGTGAAGACATTAGTATCACCTCTCTTGTTTAATTTTATGGCATGGATGCTTGAGTTTTCAGATGACCCAGAAGATGCTGACTACATTGAATTAGATGACCAAACTACATCAAAGATTTTTCTCTGTGTCAAAATTTGGTCAATATTTCTAATAGGGGGAAAGTACAGATACCCAAGTCCCTAGCAATAGCAATGACTGTTCGGTAGATGTTTGGTTGTTCTGGCCTGATATTTAAGATTTTGAGTGGTTTTGGACATTGTCTCTCACTATCTTTGGTAATGGCATATGATTCAGCTGTTGCACAGGCAACTATCAACACATCAACATTATTCCAGTAATATCTGATGCATGTGGTGGCCGTTCTTGTACCAAGCTGATGTACAATTATGCAAGTTGCTTCTCAATGTTTGGCCAACTGTATACATTTCTTTCAATGTTGCACTTGTGTATGTCGATGTTTTCATTACAATGTCAACATCAGAATCAGACTCTTGTGTGAACTCTGAGATGTTTCTATGTCATCATCCATAAAACGTTTTCTTGACTGAGGCACTCTGCATAAACAATTTCACTCTTGTTTCATAACTTTGGTCTATGGAAAACAAGTTGTGAAAACCTTTTACACATGTTCTTTTCATAACATTGTTTATGGTATTTCACTTTAAATGCTAGGTCCTTATCAGCAGTTTGACTCAAAATACTTTCATCAGCTTTCTTTGTTGCAGCTTCTTTCAGTTTACCACCTACTGTTTCCGCAGACACCATTTTGTCCTAAATATTGTATTTGTGGTGAGGGCTTCATTGAAAAGCATCTTGGGATGAATTAATTCCCTCAATAAAATATTATTATCATTATCAAATAATAAAAACCCATGCATAGAAATCACACAACCGTTATAATGTTACCAGCTAAAGGCAATGCAATCAATATATAATTACAAAACACATCTTAGAAAAAATATTACCTGTAATAAATCAATAAACTTGCCGACTCAGTGAAATATGACTTTTCTGATTTGCAAAATTGCAACATGGCAACACGTGGGGATTCCATGATTTAGTTGGCGCACTCGTACACACGTAAAATTCTCACATTTTGTAACAAGTCTGCCAACAAGCCGTCAAGAAGATGTATTTGCACTGCTTGTCACAAGTTGTCAACAGGTTTGGAACAACTTGTTGACAACTTGTAACAACCTTGTCGAAGTTATTAGACTTGTTGCAAGGTTGTTCTGACAAGTCTGTTACATGCTTGATATAACAAGATTGTTACAACCTTGTGTTGACAACCTTGTAACATCCTTGCTATATCATGGTTGCAACAAACTTGTTAGCACAGTCTTGTAACAAGGCTCAGATAATGCCATCAAGCTTGTTACAAATTGTTAACAGCTTGTTTCAAACTTGTTACAACAAACTGGGAGCAAGCAGTGTGAAGACAACTTGTTGACAGCTTGTGAACAGACTTGTAACAACTTGTTTGCAGACTTGTTACAAGCTGTACGTTTTTACATGTGTAGAACTTGTCAACAGGATGTGTTCGCACTGCTTGTTCCCAGCTTGTTGACAAACTTGTCAACAGCTTGTTGACAACTTGCTACAAGGTTGTCAAACTCATCAAACTTGTTATAAGTTGTTCCAACAGCAATTCAACAATTTGTCAACAAGTTGTGTGAGTGACAAGCTTGTAGCAACTTGATAAAATAACAGAATTTTTACAACTTGTTGACAAGCTTGCTACAAGTCTGTTGCGACTTGCGAACACATCTTGTTGACAAGCGATTTTTACGTGTGTAGATCTTAGCATTTTCTTTACAGGTGGAGTTTCATCTGATTCCGTTTCTTCATCAATAATATGGAGACCAGAGGATGAAGGTACACCTTCTTTGTCCATATTCTGACAACACTCTTGAGCTCGGTTGATCATACTGCTATTTGTGAATGCCGAGTAAGTGAGTAACAACTTCGATGATATAAAGAGAAATTTGCATCGATATTTTCGACCGTGCTGCTTCCATGCTGTCGCTAACAAACCGCAAACTTCTTTGAGCAACATTGCATTCTTCCCCGTCTAGCGTTAGCCAAATTCTACGACAATCTGAACATTTTTGATACGAAACCACACTAAAACTTGCAAGTGGGCCTTTTTTCCCATCAAAATGAATTAAACATGAATCAGAAGACGCCATGTTTACAAATGCTAAGCTGGAAACTTCATGTAAGAATGAGCATGAGCCCGCGAAAATCGGCATTTAGAGT